TGTGTGTGTGTGTGTGTTGTAAAAGTGAATGTTTATCACGTCTTAAGTTGGGTCTGTTGGGTGGCTTTTGGTTCCCAATAACTGAAGGGGCTTGTTTTAAGGACTTTATCATTGGTAACATATTAGACACCAAATACTAGAACATTTATCTGTAAAAATGCACTTTTTATTAAATATATATTAAACAAGCAAAAATGTATTAATTATTTAGTTTTAGAGGTGCTTGTAGGCTAATTTTATTACCTTTGTACAGCGCCAGGCTAAATGTTATCCCCAGTTTTCATACGGACATGAGAGTGGTATTAATCTTGACATCTAACTCCCGGCAAGAAAGCAAATATGTATATATCCCAAAGTGTTGAACATTCCCTTAAAACAACAGCAGCTTGAGCCACTGCCACTGAAAATATGACTGAATATTTAGATTTTAATGCTTTTACAGTTAAATCAATGGACTAAACCACTGAATTCATTACTTTAACCAATGTTCCCCTGATCACAGTGAAGATCCCACATCCAGCTGAGGTGGTGAACTAATTATTGATTTACTAACCTTATCTAACTGAGCCTGTAACCCACCCCCTGTTACTGGAGGATTGGAAGCTGCTGGGTGTGGTATGCACACAGAAATGAACTCACTGCTGCCATGAGAGGCTCAGTTCAGGTCACACTACACATGGGCGACAGTGTGTGTTTACATCATATTGATGGCTGTTGTGTTGTGTTGTAGGGATTGACTCCACTACCATTGTCAGCTGTCTGCATATCCTGGCACACACCCTGGACACCAGGTGAGTACAGCACTTAAGACTCACAGGGAACCTGGCGACTTAGAGTTTTCTCCTTGAAAGGAAAAGTTTAAATTTTTTTAAATGTTAACAAAAGCCCTCAGCTGGATAATGAGCTGTTGTTTCAACAATAATTGTCTGAGAAACCAATTAAATGTTTTCCTCTGTTAAGCAATGACGTAAAGTCTAACCTCTATAGGACCCTCAAGAGGAGCATTTGTCATGAACATTTTCTTTTAAACAGTTATTACTCTGGTGTCTTATGGGAGGCACTGGCATTAACAAAGAGCATCCTCTGGCATTTAAATAAGCAAAACAAATTTCATATGCCACATGTAGCCCCGGGCTTATAGTGTTCTTTAGACACAATGTACTGTTTGTTAATGGAGCTCACACATAATGAGGCTAAATCAGCAATGTATTATTGTGTCTTGTTTGTGCTGAAGAGCTACAGCTGATGCCCAAACACTCTTTTTCATTTCTCCTTCCTACTGGGACATATCAAGGTTTAACAATGGATAATTTATTTACCAATGTTATGAACTCTGAAATGCTGAAAATGGACAGACTAATCATATTAATGCATTGTGTGCATGTTATCTAAGCTCCAAACTCACCTTAGATTTAAATATCCACCTAAATCATTAAATAAATCATCTGTGTTTTTGTGTAAGGGCTGTCAGGTTGATACTCACATCATATTTCATGACTAAAACCTTCACAGACTGTGAAAATGAAGTAATTGTATATCTGAGCCTGTCCTACCATGGGTAAACAGCGTTGTCCTTTGCATACCAAGGGGTATCCAGTGGTTTATTATAGCTCTGCCCTTGCATGTCTCATTTAGTTTCAGTCATTTATCACACGCTCTTTCACTCTAACAGGACGGTGATGAAGTCGGGCTCAGAGCTGGTTAGGGTGGGGCTAAGGACGTTCTTTGAGAACGCCGCAGAGGACCTGGAGAAGACGTTCGAGAACCTGAAGCTGGGGAAATTCACTCACTCTCGCTCCCAGATGAAAGGGGTGTCGCAGAATATAAACTACACCACTGTAGCTCTGCTCCCCATTTTAACCGCTCTGTTTGAACACATCACTCAACACCACTTTGGAATCGACCTGCTTTGTGAGTCCTGAAAGCAAAGGAATGATCAAACGTAATGTGCGGGAGGCTGCTAAAAAACTGGAGTCAAGTTTCAATGTTAAGTTTAATGTTATGCAGTGATTACATGCTTCTTATTTCCTGACACCATGGGACATACCTATCGCTTACTTACACAAATGTACAGTAACATTCCTGAAATAGATATAAATTAGCAAAATAACAACAGCCTTTCACACAGTTGGTCGGTTATCTACTGAAATATCTCAACCCCATACAGATTGGTTCAGTTTTTTACTAAAATTTTTTATTTTGTATTAATTAATTTTGGTCCAGACATTTATAAACCTTAATTGTGGTAACTTTGGTGATTCTCTGACTTTTCATCTGGCGCCATAATCAGGACAAACTTTAACTTTACCAAATGGATGGAAAAAAGGTGGAATTCCCATCTTTACTTCGATTGGCATAATTAGGTAACATGCTAACACATTAAAACAAGATGGTGAACACAGTAAATACTTGGTATACATCCACATGTTAGCATTACCTTTGTGAGGAAGTTAGCATGCTGATATTAGTCATTAAGGCTTTGAAACACTGCTGGGGTGCCTCAAGTACACGCCTCACCAGCAGCTGCTAACATTTGGCCTCGGTTAGGGGCAACTAGTTCTTGTTTCTAATTTTTCTTATTTTCTTCTTACGTTGGACGATGTCCAAGGTGGTTTTTTCCTGCCTATTTCGGTATTCTGGGACCAGCCTCTATGCACTGGGTACTTGGGGGGAAAAACCAATCTATGGGGTAGAAAGGGTATCTCAAGGCTTTTCAACATTGTGGCATCCATTGGCTTTAAAAACCTCAACACAAATGATATTCTGGGTGCAGGCCTTTCCCACCGACTTCCTTCCTCCCTACGTTCCCCTAGACAGCTTACCAGCTCTCGGGTCAGTGTTCTGGGGCCACACTGGGGCTGGGAGCATGGCCTGCTTAGCCTTCCTGGAGCCACTTTGGCTCAAACACCGTACAAACCCCTGCTCCGGGTCTTTAATACCAACGAGTGCCACGGAGAACGAGCCAGTGAGTCATATGTAATTTATTTTTTTTCTAAAATAAAGGGAGTTCATCACTTACATTGGACCATTTTGGGTTTAGCCAATCAAACAGCTATAATTATAGATAATGAGCGTTGGTCTGTACATCTATTCATTTTTGAGATGTTTTTTTACAGTTTATGAGAAAAGGGGTCAGATTTTTTATCTTCCCATATTGGTCAGCACGGCTTACTGGTGGCTTAACTTTATATTAAGGTTTTAAAACACCCCTTCCCCCCTTTTATAAATTATATATATGATAAAAATATATATATGATTATATTATATAATATTTATATAATATAGGTATATATTATATATATATATATATTTGATAGTGTAGATATTGTTGTAATCACATTTCAATTTCCTGTGGTGTTTTCAGTCCTAGGCATACCAGACTCAGTCGAGGAGATGTGTCCCGGGATGCCACGGCTGGACGGTCTGATGAAGGACATCAATGACATGGCTGAGTCTGGAGCACGGTACACAGAGATGCCTCATGTTATCGAGGTGGTGCTGCCCATGCTATGTAACTATCTGTCCTACTGGTGGGAAAAGGGGCCTGAGAACCAGATAGCCAGCGGGGGCAGTGTCTGCTGCACCACCGTCACCTCAGAGCACCTCAGCCTCATTCTAGGCAACATCCTCAAGATCCTAAACAACAACCTGGGCATCGATGAGGCCTCCTGGATGAAGAGAATTGCAGGTGGGCATGGGTTGCTATAACCAATCATTATAATAAGGGAGAATGCCACACCCAGCTTAATTTCTTTATCTTTTGTAGTTGTAGCCTTACCATCTCACAGGAATTTTGCATGAACCATAGCACCTTCCAAACCAGTGTCAGCCTCTCTGCTAGTGCTAACTAGCATTTTTTCTTTTATTTATTCCAAAAAATGGTGTTGCTCCCACTGTAAACGTTGAATGCTACAGGATATAAACAACAAAAGGGCTACATCTTGTTTAAGTTTTGTTTGAGTTTAGAACCACATATATAAGCAAGTGTAAAAGCTTTCATGGTTGAAGTGCCATTGTGGTATACCGTGATATACTTACACATTTTAAACTAAATGTAACCAGTGTAATAAAGTAAAATTTTCTCTCTCTTTTACTGTTCAGTGTATGTTCAACCCATCATCAGCAAGGCCCGTGCAGACCTGCTAAAGAGCCACTTCCTGCCTACGCTGGAGAAGCTGAAGAAGAAGACAGTGAAGGTGGTGTCTGAGGAAGAGCTGTTGAAGGCAGACAGTAAGGGAGACACCCAGGAGGCCGAGTTGCTGATCCTGGACGAGTTTGCTGTACTCTGCAGGGACCTGTACGCCTTTTACCCCATGCTTATCCGCTATGTGGACAACAACAGGTTAAATCACTGAGCAATGGATGATAGAGTTTATTTTTGGGAGGAGATTGGGGCAGATGTTTTAATCTGTCTCTTTTACTGCAGGTCCAGGTGGCTGAAAGAACCAGATGCTGACTCCAACGAGCTCTTCAGAATGGTCGCTGAGATATTTATCCTCTGGTGCAAGTCACATGTAAGTTTCCTCATCTCCATACTTGTTTAGCCACAAAAAAGAGGCAGCTGTTACGAATTAGAACACTGATGTCTTTGGCGTGTGTCTTCCTGCAGAATTTCAAAAGAGAAGAGCAGAACTTTGTGGTCCAGAATGAAATCAACAACCTTTCTTTCTTGACTGGAGATAATAAAACCAAGATGTCTAAGGTAGGTTTTGTATTAGCTCACTACTTCTCAGCACTGTCAAATTTATTTCCTTTTTCTGGCTGCAGATTAAAACCCTCTTAGTCATGTCTCATGAAACTGTTACCCATCAAACTTGCATGCATGTTTGTATGAGAAAGCTGAAAAAGAACCAGAAATAAGCAGGATCATGACTGACTTTGACTTTTGACTGTGTGTTTGTGTGTGTGCGTGTATGAATTTATGCATGCACCCTCGTTACGGTAGATGACAGAAACTAACATACATCCCTCAGTTGACAAATATTTCTCCCTATCTTCAGCCCTTGTCAGCATTACAGGGATTAGAACATTTTTTTTCTTGTCTGCCTGATTTAGCTGTTTAAAAGGCAAACAAATGGTTTTCATTTCAGCGCACGTCCATGTGAGGACTGTGTGCCTTCATTAACTGCCCTCTCATCATTTTCTTCTATCTGCCTTTCTCTTTCTGTCTCTCTGTCTCAAACAGTCCTTTAAGGAAAAGGTAGAGTGATGCAGTGCATGAGCTGTTTACCTGCCAGCTTATTGGCTTATGTGCTCCAGTCGCCAAGGAGAAAAGCCAATAGTTTGTGCCGCTGTGCTATATAGCCTTTAGTGTAGTTATATATCATGTCACCTGATTATTTGTGGCCTCCATTCATCACCATGTGTGATATGGTAACTTTGGTCATTCCTCATTCCCTTATGGGCGGACCACGTCTCATCTGGAGTAATGAGGCCCAGCCCCTTTGTAGCAAATCATGTGATCACATGTCACTGGTGTGCGGTTGATGGATTGTGGTACCCTGGTGTGTTTGGCCAATAGTTACCTCAAGCTATTAATATTATGTTGTAGTCGATGTGTGGTAAGTGTGTGTTTTGTGTGTGTGTGTCTCTGTGTATATATATTAATATGGAAATTAGTGTTTTTACTGAGCCAGCTGCTTCAATTTGGCTCAAGACTGTGACTTTCTTCCTCACTGGTAACATCTCGCTGTTCCAACAGAGGCAGTCTGCTAGTTCTGCTTTTCAGCTGAGGTGTGAAACTTCTTAATGCTTCAGTGGCACAGATTCTGTCTGGTCGCAGATTCTGCCAGGGCTGAAAAAATAAATGCCTCAGTTACCTCTGGCTTTTGTTCAAATACAGTGTGAGTGCTCCCACTGTGAAGTAAGTTCCAAGAAAATACTGTGACGGTATTAGTTTAAATATTTCAAAGAAGCGCTTTAGTGCAACATTAATTATAGCAAAAAAGGGGAAATAGTATGTATTACCCAAAAAGACTAGCTTATTAAACCGCCAAAGCTCTTTGTATTCACCACTTTGAAATTAAGTTAAAGTTAATATCATGGTTTTTTTTCAGTCTGGAGGACAGGATCAGGAGAGGAGACACAAAAAAAGGCGCGGTGAGTTCTACTCTATCCAGACCTCGCTGATTGTGGCCGCTTTAAAGAAGATGCTGCCAATCGGCCTCAACATGTGTACTCCGGGAGACCAAGAGCTCATCTCTCTGGCCAAGACTCGCTACCTCATGGTGAGACAGCTTTTATGTGACCATGCACCCAAACAAGAACAACTACATTTCAGAATCATAAAGCTTAATGTTGCATCCCTAATCCTGCTGTTGTTTATTAGAGAGACACAGACGAAGAGGTCAAAGACCATATTCGGCAGAATCTGCATCTTCGAGTGAAGGTGATCATGTCAAAATCAATATCATAACTGTAGGTGGTTCTTTCCTTCCAAAGAATGTATATATTGTATTCTACATGCTTTTTTTCTAACACCCTGTCAGTCAGAGGACCCTGCGGTGAGGTGGCAGTTAAACCTGTACAAGGACATAGCGATGAGAACTGAGGGGCCTCCAGACCCTGAGAGGGTGGTGGACCGCATCCAGAGGATCTCTGCTGCTGTCTTCAACCTGGAGCAGGTTGGGCTCAGACATTCATACATACCCAAACATATTGTGAGCTCCAAATGACACTCACAACTGTGAAGGTGCAGGGTCACCAAAATATACAGCTCATGACACTTCAAATATGCTGGCAAATGATGTTACATTTATTTTAGCGTTCTTGTGTGTGGATGTGTAACCAGGTGTAGACTCTGGTTAGTTCAGCCTCAAAAAGCACACAATCGGCTATGTGTCACACCCTGTGGTTTTTACGTGGTTTGACCTCAGTGATGACAGCAAACCTGCACTGGGCCGCTTGACCATTTTCCTTCTCCTTTCACTTATACACAAACAGTCACACAGTTTCACAGTGAGTCACCAAAATGCTAAAAAAAAATGCCAGTTCACTGTCTTTAGAGATTTTCTTTTCTCAGGTTTAGCTGGTAGAGAATTTGTTGATTAATCGTGTAATCGTCTTCTACTCCCAATAGGTGGAGCAGCCATTGAGATCCAAGAAATGTGTATGGCAGAAGTTGCTTTCCAAACAGAGGAAGCGAGCGGTTGTCGCCTGCTTCCGCATGGCTCCACTTTATAATCTGCCAAGGTATGACTGTATATATTACACCTAGAGCTTCTACATATTTGTTGTGGCGTTTTTTTTCACCCCGCATTCAACAGTAGCAGAGAGCTCCCTGTAGTACTACTAGCAGATGGAAAAAATGTGTAGCAAGTGTTGTAACATCACCTTTGTGTTTACTGGCCAAACACAACTTCTTCTTCTGCCTGACTCACAACTCTCATTTCTCTCTTCCTGGGTTCTGACCCTGCATTAATGCACAGCCTCCCTCCCTCCGTCTGTAGGACAAATGTCTAGCCTGCAGCTGTTATCAAGGAGTAGAAAAAAAGGGACACTAGCAATTTCATGCCCTGCTGCTCTGTAACTCAATCACAGGAAGTCAGGCAGAGCGCTACAGTAGGGAGGAAAACAATTATGAGACCCAACCTGGGGGTGGCCATCTTCAATATGTGCTCAGACGATGCCGCCCGCCTGCCTGACAGTATGACTCATTTATTCAGAGTTGTTGACAGTGAAATATGACACAGCGTAGTTAATAATTATCAGACAGTATTTACAATGCAGGCACAATTGATTGTTTTTATTTGGAGTAATAGATTGGTGTTTGTGGGTGGATGTGAAGCTTCTGGATAATGTCGACTCTCCCTGAGTTTAACACATTCAGATGTCATCTTTTCTCTTTTGTCTCTCTATTCAGCCTTTGTTCTCTCCTCAATGTCACACTCTATTGTACCTCATCCCCTCAGGCACAAAAATAATAATTACTTCCTGAATGCCTACCGACATATTTGGCTGGAGATAATGCATGAGAACTCAGACTATGACAGTCTGCTCTCCATGCTGACGGTAACGTAGTGCTGACCCAGTGTCACTACTGTATGACCTTTGCATACCTCTCTTAACTACCTCTTGCTCTCCTCCAGGCACGGTTTATGCGAAAGATGTAACTCCCATTCAGATATTCCCGCTGGCTTTTCCACTGGTCCACATCTGTACAGTAATGCAGCAAGTGAGCAAGTTAAAGGAATAGTTCCACATTTTGGGAAATATTCTTATAATTCTAATATAATGGCTTTCTTGGCTTTAGATTTGCTTGTAGGTGGATTTTTAACTTTTTAACTTTTAGACAGAGTGAGGCTAGCTGTTTCCACCTATAAGCTAAGCTAACCATGTAATCTTCTCATCTTACTCTCGTTCCTTAAATGTCAAAATATTCCTTTAACTGTCACTGATGTGCAGAGACATGGGTAATTAATAGAAGTTCCGTAATTAGATGAACTCATTAATCCAGTCTACCTGCTGATGAGAGTTTACGACTAGATATAAAAAAAAGAATAGTTTGATTAAGGGTGACCAGTTGGGTGTGCCAGTACCCTAAACTAACCAGTATTAACCTCTCCTAAAGGGACTTCTCTCCTCCTTTGCTTTGCTCCTATCTAACCCAGGCTAATGTCCTCTCAACCTTCCTTAGGCATCGCTCTATTAACCTCTTCCTCCTGGCCTATCAGAGAATATGGATAGAAACAGAGGAATACTCTTTTGAGGAGAAGCTAGTGCAGGATCTTGCAGTAAGTACTTTTGTCGTTCCCCAGTGCCCTCTTGTTGGTACCCATGTGCTGAGCGTCGCCCTTACAGCACCACTTTCCTTTACTTGTGTCATTGTTAAAAGTGCTTGAAAGCGCCCCAGTTCCACCACGTACCACTGGGACACACTCAGTCATCCATATGATGTTTTTCAACTACGTGCCCATTTTTTTGGCAAGCATGACATCACCGTTGATGTCAGAGCCCGCTGATGTATCTCGACCACTGTGTGCCATCCAACATTGGTAAGATATGGAATGCAGATTGGACGATTATGTCTAGTTTGACGTCTGCATTATTGTGTCAAAATTGTAGGTCTAACGATGACAGAGTATACCCTGCTAATATGTACATTTTAAATGTACCACTTGATTTATTCATAAGTGCCCACTAAATGGTAGTATTAGAGCACGAATGGCAACCTGTTGAATTTTAAGTAGATTAAATTGGGCGAGTAGTTCTGCAAGCTACTGATTTCAATGTAAACTGGATGAGATCTTTTCTGATTAATGGTGATATATATATATATAGTGCAGCCATGGAGGGAAATATATTTTACAATTATAGTTCAAATCTTTTTCTTTAAAAATATTTTGTCATATAATTGAGACTGGATAAAAACACACATATGGTTTGTTGTTAGCCTTCTGGATAGGAATGACAACCTGTAAAGGATTGTAGAGTAGGCCTAAAGTGGCCGGGAGCACGTCAGTAGAATCGAGTTGGGGTGGAGCAGGGAGCATTCATTTTACCTGAATGAGTAACATGCTCATGCTTGTTCAAATTGTTGCATTGCCTAGACAGCACCCTTACTGTTATCATCCCTAACATTTCCCATTACGGCTCCAGTTCCACCCTACACAAATAACGTGTATAATACATATGTGATAATAACCACTAGCAAGAGCCCACATGACTACAACATAGGCACGCAGCCAAATGCAGCCCCTACGCCAAAAAAGGCTGGGTATATGGACGTCTAATGGTCCAAACCCCGTAAGACTTCCAAAATCAACGTCTTTACAGGGTATTTTCTGCTGTCTTAAGATCTACAATTTCGACATCAAACTAGACGTAATGGTCCAATCCGCATTACGGCATCCTGCCTCGATGCTTTGACTTACCAATTAAATTTTTGAAAGTTTTGGTGTCTTTCTTAAATTTGAACAATCATAAAACATCACAATCATGCATTGAGTTTGTAGAGAAAGCAAAAGAGATACAGAACATAGCTGATTTTTTACAATTTCACAAAAGTGAAAATATTTTGCGCTTTGTAGAACATGATAACCTACAGCTTAATATGCATAGCTTGATTAAAAATGCTTGAAGGATTCATGAAATAGAGTTTGATAAATTCAGTTCTCTGATCTGGAGACTATCATGAAGGCATGCTGGAACTCGACATACCCTACTGTGCCAATGGGTGTCTTTTTTTCTCATTTTCAATAATGAAATGAAGATAAAAATTTGAATTAATACAACTTTTACAAAATCTAATCTTTTTTATCCCTTTTAACAACCATATCTTTTCCACATTATTTGAAATTAAAGCTACAGGGCACCACATAAGAAGTAGAGGGTGTGACAGATGAAGAAATGTATAATTCAGCCAACCAAGCATACATATTTGCCCTACAGGAAAATAGTTCCAATGTCTGCTATCATGGGAAGTTTATCATGATAAAGTGTTAACTGGGCTCATGGAGAGTCATGCTTAACTCCAATCTCCACCTTTTAACACTGCTGAACATCATCTCCTGTGTGTTTACGTATGTGCACGTGGCAGCATGTGTGTGGATGTGCCATTGTGTCCGTGCTCGTTTTTGTGGTTTATTGTGTGCATGCTATCAGCGTGCATTGGCTTTTTTCTGATACAGCATGATTTTCTTAAGGTAAGTGATATATAGTGACTGTAACTGCTGTTCATACAAAGTGTTACAGTTCAGATTTCTAGCTGATATTGAGACGACATGCCCCAGCTGCAAGATTTACTTGTATGGGTTTGTCCAGAAAACGCAGCCCAAAGTGGAGGAAGAGGAAGAGGAGGAGGAGAGAAAGCAGCCGGACCCTCTTCACCAGCTCATTCTGCATTTCAGCCACAATGCTCTGACTGAGTGCAGGTAAATACACACTTGGAGTCACACACCTGACCACCTGGCACAAACACACTTCTCTCCATCTGTGCTAATAGTTTTGGCCTGCCTCTTAGCTAATAAAGAGCTGCATTAAGCTAAATCATCGGAATACATTTTACGCTAGGAGAGAAACACAAGCAGTTTTTTTAGTATTTCTCTGTAATCCTGCTGCTTACTGTACATACATTGCAGTGGCTATAAATACAATCAAACTGAAACTTGCTTATTATTATTTAAAGATGAGATGTGATTGTTTGCTATGCAAGATTTAATCACAGAATATTTATCTTTCTTTTTTGTTAGTTCTTTGGAAGAGGATCCTTTGTATATTGCATATGCAGATATGATGGCAAAGGTACTTCATTCTCTAAATTGCTTTTACTGAAATGTATGCTGTTCAGCAAAATGTAGCAGGTTGCACATTGTCCTTTCTCTTTTAGAGTTGTGCTGAAGGGGAAGAAGAAGAAGAGGAGGAGGGAAAAGAGAAGACATTTGAGGTGCTATTGATCTCTCTCGGACTACACTTTACTTTGTTTTTGATTCATATTCAGAAGTGGTGCTTACTGTATTATCATTTCATACAGGAAAAGGAAATGGAGAAGCAAAAAATGCTGTATCAGCAAGCCAGACTACACGATCGAGGAGCTGCAGAGATGGTGCTTCAGATGATCAGTGCCAGCAAAGGTAGGAAAACACATTCTCCTGTCTGACTTCTTATAACTGCCACTACTGGTATAGCGACTGTATGATATATGATTTGCGGTCATCAGGTCGACTTGGTGCTATGGTGACTTTCACCCTGCAACTAGGCATCTCTATCCTCAACGGGGGGAACATACTGGTCCAACAGGTACACATCAGTCAGCATGCAGTATTGTGTTGCAAAGTTAAAAGCATCAGCTCGCTATTTAATGTGCTTTTGTCTCGATCCAGAAAATGTTGGACTACCTGAAGGAAAAAAGAGATGTTGGCTTTTTCAAAAGTTTGTCTGGACTAATGATGTCTTGCAGGTAATGAAGCCAAACCAATTATCACACACAGAACATACAATTTACTTTATTTCTCAACTTCAATTTAAAGGGGAACTCCATCAATTTTACACAGAAAGGTCAGTTGTATAAATGTAATAGAAAGCCTCCTTTAAGCCCAGTCCACACTGCCTGCGTCTGCAGTGCGTAGCACAACGAGTCTCAGCTGCTTCTCTGTTTTTTCTGTGAGCCGTGCACGGCTGCAGCAGAATCACTTTCTGTGTGGTCAACTCAGGCATGCGAGGTGCAGAAGTTCAGCGAGGCAGCCGTCACACACTGCTCAGGCAGCCTATGACAACCAACCATTAAAAACTGGGACTGTTGGCTTTGAAAACATGGGTGCTTATTAATGAGCCAATCAATTTAGACTAAAAGTCAGGACAATTTTTTGAATTATATCGCCTAAGTCGCCTAACTTATATAATACTAAATACAATACTGCAATAAAGCAATACTACGTTCCTGGAGTGCCCCTTTAAAATACATATTGCAGAATATAAAAAAGAAATGTATCATAGGTCATGCTTTGTCTTTTATTCCCTACAGTGTCCTGGACTTGAATGCTTTTGAAAGGCAAAATAAAGCAGAAGGTCTGGGGATGGTTACTGAAGAGGGATCAAGTAAGTGAGGATAATAAACATGGTAAACAGTCTGTCCTAGTTGTTGATTCACCAACAATTTGAGTGATTGATTTGTCTTTTTTTTAATCACACTGATGTAAAAAGCTTGCACAGTATATTAGTGTGGTGCTGAACAAGTAAATATCTGCGCCATAGTATGATTTTATTCTTTGTATCATTGTAGAAAAAGCACAGTATAGCCAGAACCTTAATACTAAAAGTTCAGCAATTTATGTGCCGCTTTCTGTGTTGCTAAATGCTGATCTGCTGCAGATTTGAGAGTATCTTTGTAAACAGACAATGAAACAGAGGTTATGGAGTTTGTAGCTTTTGCAGACGGACCTTTTTCTTCAGCAAGGTATTTCAGCCATTCAGTGTTACACATGTGGCCAAAACCACAGTGCAATCTGTAAGTGATACATATTTATACAGGCTTGTAATTGGCTGCTAGACAAATGACGCAGCTTGACGAAACATCTACTCTTTAGTTTGTACAAGCCCATCCTCACTTCACGTCTGTCTCTCGTTTGTCATGTTGTCTGTCATCATCATGCAGGTAAACCTGTGCTACTGTATGTCTAAGTCCTGTCTCGGCCTTGTCTGCCACTTAAAAGCACTCACAGTCACAGCTACATCCACATGAAAATCCACATTTAATCAGACATCTCTATTTGACCTGATGGGTAGCATACAGTATAAAAATATGTTTTTCTCATGCATATCCCAGCTCATTTTCACCTCATAAGCTCAGGCATAAGTGATGGTAATTGTTAGTACTGTCTAAGCTGTATTCTGAACACTGAAACACGAGCAGACTGTAATTTAAGACTTTGTGTAATTGTTACCGCGTGTCAGTGTCGTAAATCAATGTGAGTATGTAAAGATATTTCTATAGCGCTATCATTCTCTCCTGTTCCTACTTCTTCTGATTGAATATCAATGTCTTCTCCTTTGCTTATGTCTGCTTTTTGTTTTGTTTGTTTGTTTGTTTTCCTCTGATCATGTTTTTTATCTCATCGGTCGCAGTCAACGTGAGTGAGCGGGGTAAATACATGGTTTAGATTCTACTTATTTTATGCAATGCTGACATCTTGATTGCTCTCCGTTCAACTCCTTCCTCCCTCTGCTCATTCCCTTCCAATCTTTCTCTCCCCCATTCGCCCTCCTCCCTTGCCCTGAATGCAATACAATCACCTTCTTTTGTACCTTGGACTGAAGGAACGCATGCATGCTTCTATGACATCTGGATAGATTGTTCAGTCCAGGGTCAGGTGCCCCAAACTGACTCAAATCTCTCCGCTTTTCTTACACTTCTTTTATAAGAAGTCAGTGCTTGTCATTTGTGTGGGACCTTTTATTTATATTAATTTTGACGATACTAACCAGCGTGTAACAAGAAATAAATCTCCCAAAGCTTTGATTGTAAGAAACAACAAAGCTTTGCTATTGTTAAAAAAAAGTTTTATTCGCATAATAAACCTTGTTTTAGTTTGTGAAATGATGCATTATATAGTCCCTCCAGGATTATGCAGACTTTACTTTACAGTCGCGGCCTAAAATTTCCAATTTTACAGCAGTTTTTTAAATTTTTTTTATTGTTAATATATGTTTATGTATAATTCGTAAGACATTTAAGGCAACTTGTTCCAGTGAAAATAAAATCATTCATTCGCGTCACACGCATCTGCATGGTCTGCATCTTCACAGCTAGGAACAAGCAAACGACGCATAATCGCAGCGTTTTGCAGAGGAAACTGCAATGGTTGGTAAGTTTTGTGAAAAAGTTGCGGTTTCTAACGTCGTGCAAAATCCGCGGTGATTGGTTGAATATGCGTTAATTGTTTCGATCGAAACCTCGCAACTTCCTGGAGGGACTGACTATACCTTGTCTGTGTGATCTGAACCCCAGATATGGTGCACATGATTTGATGACGTTTGACAACTAGATAGCAGCTTTACAAGAAAGTGAAAGCCATGCAAGCCCCGATGCCTGTACTGACATTAAAATGATTGGTCTCTGACCTTCTTATCACTGAAAGGGGCAGTTAATCTCATTTCCTGTCCTCAGGTTCCAAGGTACTGCAGAATGATGAGTTCACTAAGGATCTCTTTAGGTTCCTGCAGCTTCTCTGTGAGGGCCACAACAATGGTAGGTGGACACTTTTACATAAACCAGAATTAAAGGAGATGTTACCTCAATCTGCATGTCTCTCAAAACAGTGTTATACTAGGCTAGGTAGTGTGAATGTACTCATTTTATCTTTTGTTTTAGATTTTCAGAATTTCCTGAGGACTCAGACAGGGAACACAACTACAGTCAACATCATCATTAGCACTGTAGACTACCTACTAAGACTCCAGGTATGTTGCTATTACAGACAAAAGTTTAATATATTCATTTACATTTTTTAATGTTCTGTTTCTTCTATTAGGAATCCATCAGTGATTTCTACTGGTACTACTCTGGTAAGGACGTTATAGATGAAGCAGGTCAGAGGAACTTCTCCAGAGCACTGTCAGTGGCCAAGCAGGTCTTCAACTCTTTAACTGAGTATATCCAGGTATGATATCACACCACACTTCACAAAAACAAGTACGGATTAAAATTCTGAGCTTAAAAGACTGAATTTGATACTGTGTGATCATCTCCAGGGTCCATGTATTGGGAACCAGCAGAGCCTGGCTCACAGCAGGCTGTGGGACGCAGTGGTGGGCTTCTTGCATGTTTTTGCCAACATGCAGATGAAGTTATCCCAGGTATGTATGTATGATGGTAATACTATGGTGGTGTTGCATTTGTACTGTACTTAAGTACAGTTTTGACATACTTGTACTTGAGTTTTTCCCTTTCATGCTATGCTGTGTGCTACCCATATATCTGCTTCATGTATTTGACAGCTATAGTATAGTTAGTAATTACTTTGCAGATTCGTTTTTTATAAAAAATAAAAATATGGTGCAGTATTATAGATTCAGTGTAGTGGTTAAAATTAGCTCTACTAAATGAATTGATAGATTAAGTGTTGTCTTTTGGCATTTTTGCCTTCATTTGACAGTTTTACAGTCAATATAAATGGGATTACAGGGGGAGAAAGGGAGATATGACATGCAACAGAGTAAGGCTGCTGGAATCAAATCAGGGTGTGCATTAATCTATAAGTGCAATTTTAATCTTGGGGATATCTTGTAGCCAAGTGGTTAAGACATATACCATATAAGTAGTTTTATGGGATCTTAATTATTTGGCTCCCAGACACCCACAAGATAAAAATTATGCTCATTCATGAAGGCATCAGAGATAATAATCCAATATCATGAAACATATACAGGAATTAACTCTGAAAGAGGCCATTCTGCTTTATGAAATGTTGCTTTTAATACCAATGTACAGTTTCATGAAAAAACTCATGTACTTTTACTTAAGTGAAAATTTAAATGCAAAAAATTTGCTTGTAATTGAATACTTCTGAACGGTAGTATTGCTACTTTTACATTACTTAAATTAAAATCTGAATACTTAATCCACCAATGGTGTTTGTCTTTGTCAGCCAAATGCTGTTTTAAAATATCTGTAGCCAGTAGAGGTCTCTCCAGGCTCACGGATAACCTCAGGCTACTGCAGTACAATTACATTTGTCATTCCGCTCAGCTATATGATGCATGCCTCCATCTATGATATTTTATCCATGCCCAATAAGCCAGGATTGGGATGAAATCCACCCGCCTAACCTTATCTCATGGCCATCAGGAAAAGGCTTGGTCTGACATTAGAAGCCAGGATGAAGGAGAGCACAGGTGGAAGGGTTTGAATTTAGCGCATCAAAGTGCACTGCAGATTTACTGCATGCTGAATACAGGCTCCACAGAGACCCTAAATGAGTCAGACTGACCTAGCCATCTGCTCGGAGACAGTAAAATAGCATTAACCCTGGTGCTGATGGATGGATGTTACCTAGAAGGCCCTTCTGGGCCGCAGCACAGCTATTGTGGGTCCCTACAATGTGAGGCAGCCTTGATCTCTCAGGGACATTAGACAGGATGGCTGTACCCTTACAGGGAGGCCATCAGTACTCTGTGATATGGTTTAGTGACAGTCAGGGTTTCCCTTTTTTGTCTTCTCCTAACAGGACTCCAGTCAGATTGAATTATTGAAGGAGCTGCTGGACCTACAGAAGGACATGATCGTCATGATGCTCTCTCTTCTCGAAGGTTTACTTTTTAATGACTTACCAACACCATATTAGCTGCACCAGCAGCAGTAGTTTGCAAGGATATTATCTCTTCTGTGACTTTCATTAAACAGATTTGTTTGCTCGGAATGTAATCAAATATTTCCCAAAGCAGCTTTGCTTAATCTGCATGGAGACTGTTGCTTGTTATTGTGTGTACTGAAAAACTTTGCTTTGGTCTCTTTCTCCATTACTTCACAGGTAATGTTGTCAATGGTACTATTGGAAAACAAATGGTGGACACCTTGGTAGAATCTTCTAGCAATGTGGAGATGATCCTAAAATTCTTCGACATGTTCCTCAAGTTGAAGGACCTGACTACCTCAGACAGCTTCAAGGAATATGACCCCGAGAGCAAAGGGGTTATATCAAAGAAAGATTTCCAAAAGTCCATGGAGAACCAGAAACAATATTCCCAGTCTGAGATTGAGTTTCTTCTCTCCTGTGCTGAGGCGGATGAGAATGACATGTTCAATTACGAGCAGTTTGTGGAGAGATTTCATGAACCTGCCAAGGACATTGGCTTTAATGTGGCTGTGTTGCTTACCAATCTCTCTGAGCATATGCCTCACGATGCCCGCCTCTCAACATTCCTCGACCTGGCTGAGAGCGTCCTCAGCTATTTTGAGCCCTATTTGGGTCGTATTGAGATCATGGGTGGTGCTAAGCGCATTGAGAGAGTCTACTTTGAGATCAGTGAGTCAAGTCGCACTCAGTGGGAAAAGCCTCAGGTGAAAGAGTCAAAGCGGCAATTCATCTTCGATGTCGTCAACGAAGGCGGGGAGAGTGAGAAGATGGAACTATTTGTCAACTTCTGTGAGGACACCATCTTTGAGATGCAACTGGCCTCTCAAATCTCAGAGCCAGACCCAGTGGAGCGTCCAGAGGAAGATGAGGACGACAAGCAGAGTGTGGTGGAAAACCAGGAAGAGGAAGAGGAGGAGAGCGTGATGATGGAATCTTCCTCGGCTTTTACAATCGCCTGCATCTCCATGAGAAAAAGTCTCTGCCACTTCCGCCAGCTGCTCACTCTCAAGAGCATGAGGCGGCAGTACAGAAAATTCAGGAAGATGAGTGTTAGAGAAATGGTGCAGGGTTTCTTCTCTTTCTTCTGGATGATCATTACAGGCCTCTTCCACTTTGTCTACAGCCTAGTTTGGGGTTTCTTTCATATCTTGTGGACCACTATGTTCGGGGGCGGCCTCGTTGAAGGGGCCAAGAACATGAAGGTGACAGACATTTTGGGAAACATGCCAGACCCCACCCAGTTCGGGATCCACGGAGACGTGTTAGAGATGGAGAAGATGGAGGCGAACGAGGCGTCAGCGTTGGCGGAGATGGGTCAGATGGCTCAGGGAGAAGCGGCGGAGGCAGATCTGATGGCTGAGTTGCTGAACATACAGCCCAAGAAGGAGGGAAAGCATGGGGCTGAGCCCGGTTTGGGGGATGTGTCTGAGGTGGTGGTGGGGGATGCTCCGTCCATTGCCAGTGCCGTCAAGCAGAAGAAGGCACAGGTCAGTACCCATGTTACATCCAACTGAATAGGGGTACTTCTTCTTCTATCTATCTATCCTCATCATGCCTTAGCTAATAGACACTAGAGACAATACAACATTTGTATTGACACTTGAAACACACGTTGTTATCATACTAAAACAAACTATTAATGCAACTGATGGTCAAAACAATGTATTTGTTACAGTTGGCTGCCAAGAAACGGGCTTCAAATGGAGAGTACAAGTCTGATTCAGAGAAAGGAGAGTGAGTGTTCTTAATTTGTTCACTGTTCATCTTCAGTTGAATTCTTCTGATATGCTTTTATGTGGTTATCGCATCTTTAAGCATTATGCCATCTTTAAATTCTTTCTGGTCACAAGTGTATCAGCATGTTTTCATTTTTTGATAGTCGAAAGTCAGACATTTTAAAATGATGATGAAGTAAGATGTCAGATATTTGATTTAATTTGGTAGGAACTATTGGCAGAAACGGAATCTAAT